GTTAGCTAGAGTTAAATGATCTTTTTAGACCTCTAGCTAGGTCTTCTCTACACTCCTTTTTAGTGCTAAAAAACCGTAACGAGGATTAATTGAAATAAGAATTGGAGATCTAAGAGAATTTAATTGGTTTCGACATACCAGCTATTTCAATGAAAGAAAGCTATCAAGAAAAATATATATCACACGGTTTTTGAATGTTTGATCATAAGAGTTATTTTGCTAATACGTATGAATAATTATTTAAGATTGATTTTGTAATTGTAGACTGTAGTTAATGAAAAATTCTCTTGCGCCACCCGAAGGACGAGAGGAGCTCGTTTATCCAACCTGACAAAGGCAAAGATCAAAGAACTGGAATATAATAGGAGCTTTTCTCATAGGACTGCATCTAATTAAATTCCATAATTAATGGAAAAGCTCAAGTAGCTGAAAAGAAATTTGTTTGTTATCGAAAAAGTATTCATTTCTACTTTCCAAATACTCCAAACAATAAATATAAGTGTTGCCATCTCTAATACAAATACTAATACCAGTTATGTATTTAACATAAAAAAAATATGATAGTATCTATTATTTTTATTTGTACTCCAATGCATAATATTATTTCAAATGTTAAATTTATTTTTTTTCATAATAATTAAACTTTGAAAGTGATAAGAGTAAACTTTTACGTTTAAAATAATTTAAAAATGTAAAAATAGCAATGACAAAATAAATGATAACCATTGTATTTTGATTATCTATCTAATTTTTAGTATTTCAAATGTTGTCTGTCAAATCATATTATGATGCCTTTTAATAGATACAATATTAGCCTATATTTAGTAGAGTGGAAAAGGGAGAGGAAATAAATTAGAGAAAGGATTTTAGAGAGCAAAAGAGAATTCATGGGGTCTATCATTTTTCAATCTTTCTAACTTTGGAAAGAAAAGAGGGAAAGAAAGAGGAAGGTAAATATTTAACAAGCAAGTGGATGTAAAATAACTATTTTAACCTCAAATCATTCAATTCAACTATTTTAACCTCCCTTCTACCATTTTATTTATAACACCTAGGTATTTTACTTATAATTTCTTTCTATTTTTCATCCCTTCTATCAAATATAGCATAAAGCATAGAACAATCAATTAAAGAACATTCGAATTTTTTTAAATGACGTGGCATAATTTAGTTGTTTAAACACCATTTAAGGCATTAAAATTAGACATATAATTTGTATCCCAATACTAATAACATATAATTAGGTTCCCCAACTTTTTCAAAACAATATCACCCGTCTCATCTCAAAATTTAAACAAGTAAAAACTTCTCGTTCCACATGATATAGTTAGCTGAAACCATGAGAAAATTAAATCTCATTAATTAGAGGATTAATTGGCGCCATGACATGGGACAATATATAAAGAGAAAATGATTACTAGAGAGACTTTCACCTTGCACTACTTTGGTCTTCTATGTTACATACTTTGCCCTAGAAGATAGAGTACTTTTCACGTTCCTTTGATCACGGCCAAACTTTGATTAATGAACAAATGATCACAATATTTGCCGACCACCGTACCGTACTAACCTTTCTAATTTCCATAACTAGTACTACTAGATGATCATCTGTGAATCAAGGGAATCAAAGCCTTAACCTTTGAAAACTTTCCTAAGAAGGCACGAATAATATTGGAGAGGCACGCACGTTATAGAACTTAGATAATTCTTTTAATTTTTGATGTTTTAAATAATGTCTAACTAATAGCATTTTCATGATATCATTTAACGAACAAACATGAAAATTTGAAGTAAAGAACCTTTTAAGATTTTTTAAATGTTATGGCATGAAATAATTGGTTAGACACCATTTTAAACATCAAATTGAACAAATTATTTGAATTCTACGTTTTCGATCCATCCACACACCGAAACGTGTATGCTAAACTCTTCTTCAAAGATAAGGGGCAAGAGAATCAAATCTCGTCATGATGATATGTATCTATACCTGTACGCTTAAGCATGCACGTAACATATCTCACACCTTCTTTTAAGTCAAGATCGATATAGTAGCTTGCCTACACAATCTTTTGATTCGCATGATTTCATACATATCTACAGTGCTGGGGAAACGCTCTTCACGCATGAATAGTCTCTTGCAAGTTTGGTCGTTACTTTTTATCGATATTTGTGGGTATATAAATATATATTACTGGTGTGTTGCGTATATACATAATAAAGGTTTCTGCGCTGCTGCCCCCCAATTTTTTTTAAAATGTTTACAGCTTGTCCTTTAAATTTTTAATTTTCATAATTTAACTTCAAGACTTTTAATTGTTCCAATGTGTCCCATTTTAAGTCCAATTGAGATTTTTCATCCTTAGATGAGGCGCACGTGATCTTTTCGTCATCAATTTAACGGGAAGCTAGGGGTTAATTTAGTAAAAAAGTTCGGCGAAAATTTTTAGTTTGAAATAAGAAAAGTGTGGTTTGAACTTACATATAACCTGAGATTACGTTTAGATATCAATGGAAATGTAGGTTGAAAACATGGAGGGTTAATTTCAGAATTTGAGTTATTTTCTAGTTCAACCTATCACATCAATAATTTGATATAGGCCTCTAAATTTTTTAACAAAACACCTGCTCAGCCTAAATTTTCGTTCAAAACACTTTGAATCACTTTAACAAATGGGGTCTATGTATGATGAGACACGTTATAAAAACTAGAAAGTTTAGAAGATAAATTATCAAAATTAAAAGTTTGGGAGGTAAGTGTCAAAAATAAAAAAATTTAGGGGCATGAATGCTTATAATATAACGTGTGTGTATGCGACTGCAATTACGTATAGTGGAGGCAGAAAGTCAATGCTGCTTATCTCTTCGCAGCTTTTGATGCTTGTTTTGGGTACGTTAGCCTGGGGTACTGCCCATAACTACCAATGATAAATAAGTGAAAGAGAACTTAGACCCATACCTTAAAATAAATACATTAACCTAACATATATATACATGTGTATAACAAGTTAAGGGATTTTCTACGATCAGAAAAGCTTGTGTGTTTGTTGTAGTTGCAAATATAAATATATATATATATATATATCATATATAATTTACTATAATGCAAATCATCTAAATATACTTTGTATGGTGATTTCAGTTCTGTTACAGGTCCCAAAAGGAGATAGGAATCTACATCCAAATGTATTTACTATTGCAGAGAATGAAATTACGCGATGTTATTAAATTTCCATATTTAATTGTAACTATTAATGGATATGTAAATATTGAAAACAAGTACATATATCTATAATTAAATGCAATTTTTGAGTAGCTAAATCATATATAACATGATTAATGCTTAAATTAAGGATCAAGGTATTATGTGATACCATTAGCAAAAAAAATGGTATTATGTGATACAAACGAGAAAGGCAATGAATCATATAAATAGCGATGACAAGCACAATTTCATGAATTTTTTTGATTAATTCTTCTCATGTTATTACATTTATTTTTCTTTTTTTTTTTTTTGGGAAAAAAAATGAGAGAGAGGATAACTAATTTGAAGCACATCTTAATTAGATTTGAACCTATTAGGCCTCTTATCCTACCCAAATATTATTAAAAGGAAAAAAAAAATCCAAGAAACAACTCAAAACTAAGAGCCACAATAAAAACATAAATAACTGCCAACAAACAGATATAACTGACACGCAGAGACTAAAAGGAGAGCTAAACGTACACGAGAACAATAGCAAAAAAGAAATTAAGAAGAACAAAAGCAAATATGTTTCGATACCCCATTGTCTTGAACAACTTCAAAAGCATGATAAAATTTACGAAGAAAAATCCAAGAGGGTGCCTCGATCATAAAAACCATATCTCTAAAAAAACCAGTGGAAAAAACTCATATTTATAAGTCACTTAACATATATTATAGAATCTCTCCTCCCAATCAATATTGCGTCTCAAAAACTTGACGGGACTTTTAGTAAGAAATTCAGTAATATAATAAATTACAATTATAAGGTCAGGTAAAAAGGAGTATTTAATATATATATATATAGGAATTATCTCTGGTTAGATACTTGGAAAGTGCCTGGCCGAAACCGCAGTTGTATAATTCTGCATAAATCATGTATATTGACATGTAAATCGTGTATATTTAACATGAAATACAACAAATCAGCCAATATACATATTTTCATGCTATGTGTTCACTAATTGTTATAAAAAATACATGTTTTGAGACTTAATATACATTATCGTTTTTTATAACTTAACATATACGACTTTACATGTAAATATACACGATTTACATGTAAATATACACGATTTATACATAATTATACAAATGTCCTTCTGGTCAAACACTTTTCAAATGCCTGATCAGAGACCTTACCTATATATATATATATATATATATATAGTAGGAAATGTTTTTGATCTTTCTAATGTCATAATCTTCTTCTTGTTTTTTTTTTTTTTTTAAACTGAAAAGAGAGAGCAGCTGGCATCAAGATATACTATTAACCAATGCGCAACGGATTTTAATGATCAGATTAATTGTATTTGAATACAATAATTATTACCGCAGAATATCCCACATCGCAAAATATCATGCTTATTTTGTCTTTCTTTTGGGATTTTCATGTCCAACACAAAATGCATGCATAGATACATATATTGTGGTACATTCAAAGAAAGAAAACTGTGAGAGAATTTTCACACAAAATGTTGGAATAATCCTTTTATTATCATTAATATACCAAGTCCTTAATTAATACACCTTTGCGAAAGGATCTTCTTAATATGATCATCATCATGATCACCAAACAGCAACTACATGTAGCAGTAGCTAGTTGTTCTAGCCCAAGAGAGAAAAAAAAAAAAAAGCAAAAACAAAAAAAGGAAGAACTACATGATGAGTTTTGGCTAGTGACATGATAATTAACTCTTTTAAGCTAGAAAATTAAGAACATTAAATTGAAATATTACATATATTATAAGGTGGGACATTAATTAATTTCTAATAGTACTTGATCTGATCTGAAAGATAAAAAATTAAAGATTCTATTGGTTGAGTAAACTCCTGATTATTGCAGCTTGAGCAGTGTCACTTGTTGCTAATAGCTCAGAAAGTCTTTCACTTAAGTCATCAACTTCTCTGTGCAAGCTTCTAATGTAGTTGCACGTCTCCTGTAACACCTTCGCTGCTGAAACCTGTCCATTATTTATATATATATATATATAATATATATATATATTAATTTTAATCTTTTATTAGAATCAGCTTCCACTTAATTGATTATAATCTGAAATCTCATTTAGAAAAAAAAAAAATAGTTCTTGAATCTTGCAACAAGCTGCACGAAGCCATGAATTATAAAAAAAATAGTCTCTTTTCTTTACATAAACTGGGGTAGGCCTTAAGATTACTACTATATTATACCTGCAACTATATTAATTAATTATATTATATTTATATAAAGAAAGTGAAACTTGATGGAGACCAGCACCCCTACCTTTTTCTTTTTAGGGGATTTAGATACAGACTTATTAGTTATAATTACTTCAAAATTAAACTTCTAAAATTAGAGTGCACTCACAATGTCCCGTCAATTTATAACTTTTCAAAACTTGTACTTTTTTTAATGAGAATTTTAAAACCAGTACATAACCTTAGATAAAGTATCAATCTTCCTCGATCATTTGGCACCAGCAAATAAGCGAATTCGAACTCTACACTTTCAGGTAGATTTAGACAAATTTTTCCTTAATATTCATATATAAAGTATAAGCCCACTTTCTTATTTCAGCCAAAGAAACAAAAATATACATTTTTCTTAGTTTGCTAATTAGTTCACCGGGATATTTCTCTATATGTGAAAAGCCTGGAGTAAGTCATTTTCAAGTTAATTTCACCCATATCGACCCCTATTTTTTATTGCACATATAAGTATGATTCTGGAAATAAATTAAAATAAATTTAACAAGTACTTCACCATGCTGGCGAATATAAATATATATATATATATATATACACACCCAAAATAAAAATGAAAAATAAAAAGAGAGAAAGTAGTAAATAGCTGAATATTAGTAAGTACGTACCTTGTCAGAACGCCTATCGCGAATCTCAGGAAGAAGTTGTTGCAACTTGGAAACGAGATCATTGATCTGATCATCTGTGATCCGCGAACCACTTGATTGCTTTGATCTTGACCTTCTGCTAGACATAGTTTCTCTAACCTTGTTTAATATATAGTAATGGCGTTTGTATTTTAATTAAAGGTATGAAATCAGTAGCTAGAAATTAATTAAGCTAAACAATATGAGGAGAAAGAAACTCAAATGTCAAGAGTTCATATAAAGTGATCACCAAAATATATTTTCAGAGAAGTTTAGAATTTGGAGAGAGATAAAACGGGGCCAGCTGAGAGAGAAAGAGGGGGGGAAAAGGAATTAGCACAAGAACACAAGTAGTGGGGTGTTGGAGAGTGTAGAAGACAATTGCATGGGAGAAAGAGGTAGAGTTTGCCTTCATTTAAATAGGGATTTTTTTGGAGAGAGAGAGAGAGTGAGGTGATCGTTTTTGGACCTCTATATGTGTCTTCGAGATACACGTAATACCATATGTTATTTTATTATTTAAACAATTTCAAGTTATTTTACAGAAATTTTGTGGTAAGTTTATAAAAAAAAAGAAAAAGAATTGTCATAGCTTCGTTAAACTACATTTGAATATACATGTGTTATATCATTTTAGTATGAACGGACGTTGAAAAGCATGTAGTATCACTACAACAAACAAAAAGGGTTATTAGTGACAACATTTATCGTTGCTAAAATTACAGTATTAGCGACGACATGTCATCGTCAAAAAGAAAATAAAATTTTTGAACGACCTGTCGTCGCATTCACTATTTGCGACGACATGTCATTGCATAAAAGTTCACTATTTGCGACGACATATCGTCGTTAAAATTTGACAAATTATTCACGACGACATGTCGTCGCTAATAACCGTTGGCCCCAAAACCAATCTAGCGCTAGTTTGTCCAATTCTTACAACACTTGTACAATTTGTATATATGCTCATTATTATTCAATGGAAACTGGAAAGGCTATATGCCATTTTGCCCAATTCTGTAGGATTGGTATTTGGATAATTTTATGCATGAAAACTGATTATATTAATTAGGAGTTGAAGTTAAATATGTATATATATATATATATATATATAGGCACGAGATCACTCGTATAGTAGAGCTTAACTTTGAAACTAAGAGGACGTTTGGTTGGAGAATTCAAACCATGTGATTCAAACTATTTTTGATTTACGTGAATTTTTTGTGAGAAAAAATACTGTAACGAACCACAAATTATGATTCGAATCAGGGAACGAATCTCTCTACTAAACATCCTATAATTGATTAACTGGAGTTGGATAAGGCTTGGTGTTTAGTTTTGTTAAGTAGTGATTTGAGTTGACATGTTTAGGCTTAGTCAATATTTTTAGGGTCCGTTTAGTTCGCTGATTTGAGTTTTTAATTCGAGTTGAGAAGTGATTTTATGTGAGTGCTTTTTACTGTAAAAATGAACGCAGGTATATTCCTTAAGAATATTCTCATAAATATTAATGAGGCGAAGAAGAACGGCGTTATTTTTCTTACAATTGCGATGACACTTTAATATTTTTTGTGACTACATATTGTCGTCGCAAAAACTAGCCTGTATAAACACGATCCCATATCGGTTTCTCTCTCCGTTTTCTTCCTTCCTCTCCATCCAAAACCGCCACATACCATCCAAAACCTCCGAAAAAGGCTTAAATACTTCATTCTCTCTTCAAATCTTTCATTTGTGGTGAAAAATATTTATGAAAAAAGTCTAAAAAAGCGGAGTTCTTCCTCGTCGCCGCCCCTTAATTCGGCCTTCGCCGCCCCTTATTCCGGCCGCCGTCACCCTCCCATTTTGCTGCTTTACCGTTCTCCAACCCCCAGTGTTTGTGGGTTTAGATTTTGTGAGTTAATATTTTGGTATTCTGTTAATTGATTTTGGTATTTTTGTTATGGTTTGTAATTTTATTTTAGATTTTAGATTTAGTCTGTGGTTTTGGATTTGGAATTGTAAATTGTAAATTAGAATTGAAATTGAAATATGTGGTAATTAGATTGAAATTTGTATGAAATTTATTTAACGATGATTATGTGACGATGATTAAAAAATAAACGACCTATGAAAATGTAATGGGAAAGAATAATAAATTATATCTTTAATGATTAAAAAAATTAGGTTGCCATCAGACTGTGAGTCTGGTATGTTGGAACATAATTATAAATTTGTTAAATTGAATACATTAGTATTATATGATCACTAAATTTATTTCATTCTACAGCACCCAATACTGCACCTCGATGACGTCGTGGAGGTCGAGGGAAGGTTAAGGGTCACAAAATCACAACCAGAGTGACAAAGGAAGGAAAGATCACCCCATGTTTGAAGAACGTGGAAGTACTTGGAAGGCAATTAGAAACTATGGCACCTGGTTCGATAGTGCCATTGGAATCCATGTTAGAGATGTTTGTGAGCCTTTCCACGATGCTTGGAAGGACGTGGACATCTAGTATAAGAGAGAGATTCAGCAGCGCCTGCTGGTATAAATTATTCAACTTCATTATTTTTTTAATTTAATCTAAATTTTAATATAATAAAATCATTTAACATGTTTATGTTGTATTACAGGAATAGTTCAATCTCGATTATGACCGTGAAGATGGTATAATTAGGTATGTGGTCAACACGGAGGCTGCAAAATATTATAAGGATTGGAAAAGCGACCTCCTTGACTATTTCAAAGATCTTGGTAGTTTAGAAAATGAGAGTGTAGTTAGGGCCCACCCTCCCGAAAATCTCAGGAATCCATATCACTGGGGTCGTTGCTGCGATAGATTCATATCCGACAAGTTTCAGGTAATTGAATCTCTTTTATATGTTGTTTTATTATATATGATAAAGGTTAATTTTACTAACGCTAAATGTAATCATAAATATAAAAAGTTAGGAATCAATAAACTTAATCGTAGCAACCAAAAGTGGTCGTGTTTTCATGGTCGGCTGTCGTACTCCCAACATCGCGAGAAGAAAGTACGTATTTGTTAATAATTTATTCAATATAAATGTTAATTTGGTTATCGATTACACTATATTTATATACATTTAAACTTCTATACAGTCTACCACAGGGACTCAACAGCCGATGTCCGTCATCAATAACTGGGGGGACATGCATCGTCGTGGCGATACTTGGGTTAATCCCTAAGCTGAGCAGACTTTTGTAAGTATACTCGTAATGTTTAATTACATTTTTTATTTAAATCGCATTATGTATTTAATTACTTTTCTTATAATATTTGTAGCATCAGATAGAGGGAGAAAGAGAAACGCAGATCCAGACGCAGTCTGCTACTTATGGATCATTTACAGTAGGAGCAGTTAACGAGGACGATATTATGGAGCAGTTTTTGGGCACCCGCAGAGGACACAAGACTGGAGTAGGTCGCACTCTCCCACAAAAAGTTTATCGATGCATCATCATCTGGCTCACGCTCGGCAAGATCTTCTCAATACGTTCTGACCCACACGTAGAAGAATACTTACAACAGAGTTACCAGCAAAACCTCCAGCTGTACGAGAACGTCAGAATGATGCAGGACTTCATCACTCAAATGCACCCCAACATGACTTTCCCAGCGGTTACTCCTCTCGTGCCGTATGTCCGTCCAGGTCATCCGCCTCCGAATCCTTCTGATGATAACGACAATGATTCTAGTAATGCTGTTAATTTAAGAGATTAGATTTTTATTAATGTAACAATTTTTATTTCCGTACATTTCTACTATAATTACATTTTTATTTTATTTTATTAATTACTTTTTACAATAATAATTTTTATTTCTATTTTTTATTATTTATTTCCTTTTATTTAATTCTTTTTTATTATTATAATATCATAAATTATATTTAATATTGGGTTTAAATATATAGTAATACACAACATTAGTTAGTAAAATGAGAAAAAATAAATAAAAAATTAAAATATTATTTGCGACGATAAATGTGGTCGCAAAAAATAAAAGATACGTCAGCTAATTTTGCATCTTTTGTGACGACTTAATTCATAAAATGTCGTCGCAAATACTCAATGTCATGTCATCTTAACGATGTAACCAACGAAATAATTACAGCGACTCATTTGCGACGATTGTCGTCGCAACTATTGCGACGACTGCTTGTCGTCGTAAAAATTATTTTTGCGACGACAAGTGGTCGCTAAAAATTCATTTGCGATGACTTTGTATTTTTTGTAACAATTTTTTGTCGTTGCTAATAGTCATGTTTCTTGTAGTGTATTAATGTCAACTGAGTACGTGTTAATTGTATATCTCCTTAAGTTGATTTCTTTATTATGAAATAATAGGTGGAAAAATTAGTCTTTTTCTATTTTGTGAAAAGCACATTATTCATTTTCTTATTCTACTAATTAGCCAAGATATCGTGTTGTTTAATCGAATGATGGGAGGTTACACTGTTATATATCGAGTTAATAAATGACATCCTAATTAGGTTGGCACTTGGCGCCCGCAAACTTTAGTATCTTTTATCAAAAACTCCACTTAAATTTGCTAAAATAAAATGAAATAAATTTAGGTGAAAAAGAAGCTTGAACCAAAAAAAAAAAAAGCAAGAAGCTCAAAACAAACACAAGTAACAATCTCTGATCATAGACAAACGCCTAAAGTCTGAGATAAGACCCTGAAAGGTTAAATCCTTAAGGATTTTTTTGTAATATAATTCAAATGCTAAAAAAAGTGAAATATTAGGCCTCGTTCATTTCACCGATTCGAGTTTTAAGTTTTTACAGTAAAAAAACTCTCAGAAAATGTCACATCTAACTTTTTCTGCTATAATGAAAAGCTCTCAGAAAATGTTACATCTCAGCTCGAATTAAAAACTCAAATTCGCAAAGTGAACGAGGCTCATGTTCCATATGTCAAAAATCCTACGTTGTTTTAATAGGAAACAACAGATAGACTCCCTTTCTTAGTGGAAAACTAATTTATTAATTATAATTAGTCATTTGTTCATCCCACATATTAGTTAGGAAATGACACCGAACTTTCAAACAAAAAAAAAAAAAAGGAAACAAGGAAAAGACGAAAAGACGAAAATATCTT